CATAAACAACACAGGCTCAAGATTCTTCGGGTGTCCATAGGCTGCCCAATCTTTCCTCGCGGGGATCCATGAGTTAGCGATGCAGGTAACTGCGGTGCATGGTCTGCGTTGGCTAGGACAGGTGCACACACACAAACACACACAAGCTCCTGCCCGGCCCCTTGCTTTCTTAACTGACTTGACCGACAGGAGGTGCATGCAGACACACACACACACACACACACACACACATAGTTGGAATGACCCTCAATATGACCGAACCCATACCATGGGTTAGCAAGCTAATCTCATCTGCTTTTCCAACCTGTGCATGCTCATGCTTTCATACGGTTGCCTCTCTTCGAGTTTCTGCATGATCTCCATTTTCTTTGCAACCTGATTTTCGATTCTTTGTGCAGGTATGTTTTCAGCTGTCGTCGTTGGCCACTTCGTTGGCCATCCACCAATGACAAGAGGGATGGCCCCATGCATTGCTTAATTCTTTGACCTTTAGAAACAGAGCTTCAAACACGCAAGTGCCCCTATGAAGGGGCACCAATTAGCTGTAGTTGGTCGCAGTCAAGCAATCCTACATATCCCAAGACAAATGCATTTGCACATGCCGAGGCTACCAACTCCAACATACACGAAGCTGCACATGCCGATCCTACAGATTCCAACATGCATGAACGTGCACATGCCGATTCTACAGATTTCAACATGCATGAAACTGCACATGCCGATGCCAAATCTACAGTTTCAAAAAGAACGAAAAGCAATTGCAAGCGGAAACTACACTGTTCCTGCATTTGTTATCTGGTTTTCGTGGTGCATGCATGAGTGAGGGAGACTTTAGAGAGACACGGACGCAGAAATGAAGGGGTGATGATCACATGCGCAAAAAGATCACAACGAGTAGAGATGCGTGCCCCCTGCATGTGGCATCTGGTTTTCGTGGTGCATGCATGAGTGAGGGAGACTCGAAGTGGGGGAGACAGGACGGTTAAATGAAAGGGTCATGAGCGCGCACGCAAAGATCGTTCAAGTTTGAGGTAACAAACAATATAACACCAATAATTGTAGATCATCCGTCTGCTCGAGGCATCAGAGCTTCGCACGGCAAGCCGCAGCCACACTTATCTTGTTCTTTGTTTTGATATGCAAATATGGGAGTTCGCAGGTCTCAGCCGCAGCCCCCCCATCTTGCTTTTATCCAAGGTCGAGAGCTTCGCAAGCTAAGCCGCAGTCACTTTCTCCATTATTATGCTTGTTTCTCATTGGGTCACTGCTGGACGAAGCCGCAGCTAATCTCATCTTCTTCCTTGATTTGATATGCGAATATGGGAGTTCGCAGGTCTGAGGCGCAGCCCCTCCATATCGCTGAGAGCCCTCAGGCGAAAGCGCAGCTACTCTCCCTTGTGCTTGCATTGCCGGCCACAAGTTTCCCTAGGCTTCCAGGGACCTTATTGTTGGGTCCTTAAGGGGTCTAGGGCCCTAACTATAAGGTCCTTGGAAGCACAGGGTTTGGCATGTAGGAAAACACACTTCGAACACGCTGAAACTTTCCAGTTGTTCAGTAGGCGAGCACGCGCATGCTGAAACATTCGTGGGCACAAGTTCTATAGTAGGCGAAAACGACGAGCACACTGGGCGCATGCTAATGGTCAGTAGTAAGCACATTGACATGACATGTCAGCTGCACTTGCACTACAAATGTGGCCAATCGTGGCCGATGGCGATGGCAGAAACAAGACAGGTTAAGCAGCCATAGGCTCCCCAAGCTATGCGCGCGGGTGTCCATGAGCGCGCGATGCAGGTACTTTTGCACCTCCAGGAAACGTTCCTGGCCTCCTGCTTTCAAACTGAAATGCCTCTTTGCAAACAGGGGTGCGCACACACGCACACACAACCCAGGCGCACACACACACACACACACACACACATATATATATATATATATACACACACACACACACCTGGACACACAGAAAGCAAACGCACACCAGAAAATGCAACATAAAAGCGTAAGTCGATAGTAGTAGCCAGCCTTCGAGTAGTAGTCCGAGTAGTACCCGTTCCGGCCCTTGGCTAGGGCAAGCTTTGAAGTTTAGAGTGTATGACTCAATTTGACGTGAGTTAGGGTTCTGAGGCTTCGATGTAACGCTCTCAACTCCAATGCAAATGTTCCAGGTTGCGCACCTCGCATCTCGCCACCTACACCTCGACGTATGATTCTGATTTAAATCACGGTCATTCCGAATAACTCTGTAGGGTCAAGGTCTACGAAGGAAGGGCTGTGGTATTATGGAGGTTTAGGGTTTAGGTACTCATCGCAACAATATGCAACAATTATGGTGCATCACCACCAGCATCTGAATCCTGAGCCGGAATCCTGATCACACCCATATCAGCAGGATTACACAAACAGTCCCCCATCGCGGTAACAGCCAGTGTACACGGGAACTGTCACAAATTTAGGGCCGGAGTACAGATCGCTCATGTCGTCGCATCATTGTCAATAGGTAGCCCAGTTCTCCCTAAACCACACATGGAACTGCTGTAATGTAGGCACCTTAATAATTAGAATGGGGTTTTGGGGCCCGTTATACTCTGAAAGTAATAAGGAACCCCCACAATGCTTAAACCCTAAACCCTAAACCCTAAACCCTAAACCCTAAACCCTAAAATAATTTAGGCCCCTTGAGTCGCTTGGGAACCAAAGGTCTTTTACAGCTTAGGGCTCAAGGCCTGGAGTTCAGCCCCCCAGAGGGCAGGGAAGTGGCGTAGGCTAGCGCTTAGGCTGGAGGATATAGGCTTTAGGCTCTTTTTTTTTTGTTTAACGCAGTGCCCTTTCCTAAAGTCTGCGGTTCAGGGTTTACTGGTTAGGCTGCATTATACTTTGGTGATGCTAGACTCAGTAGCAACCATTCCACGATCTCGAACTCGGCTTGTCTAAGACGAAGCAGCCCAAACACTAAACTCCGTAGCCGCTCATGATGATGCTTGCGTGCAGGAGCCATGAACCCTAAGCCCGGAACCCAGAAGTGCCGACGACTTCGCCAGGGAAATCCTGCGCAAGTGCATCAAGAGCATCATGGGGCTTGTTTTGAACTACCATCTCCTTTGCTGTAAGGTCCTCTTTCAAAGCAGCCTGCCAGAGCCTGATACCAGTGCACTCGACAACTCAATACTGCCACTTTCATTGTATATAGTGCCCATATGATGATTGTCTACTGTTAGCGACACTCCCGGAGAGTTCGTGATGAATTCTGGAAAGTCTAGGATCTTCATGGCACAGCTTTCGGGTGTCGGAGTTTAGGACCGTTTAGGGTGAGACCCGAATCAAGCAATTGCCATCATGATCGCATGCTGATTAAGCAGCAGAAGCAAGCACGATTACGAGCTGAACCTGGTACGACTGGTCTTTACAGGTATAGTTACTGGCTCGTAACAACAGCCATTTGTCAGCACGACGTAGGGGCCTAAATAATTGCCTTTCTATTTTGGTGGCTCCATAATAATTATGGCAGAATGGGCCCCAAATCCCTATTCTAATGAATTAAGCCTCTAATTATACAGATCCCTTAGAGGAACCCTTATACTACCCTTTAAAGGAACCCTGTTATAATTATTAAGGCCCCGATATATATATATATATACATATATCAGCTCAACGGTGGCGAAAACACTGCAGTGCCATTGACCTTCATGCGTCCCGCGTGCCCGACCGCTCGACCCCTCCACGAAGCACACAGCCCTCAAACCCTGACATGACACACCCACCCATAGGGGATCCTGTAAGGGATCCCGTAAGGGTACCCTTAGGGTGCTATAGGGTTCTATAATAGGGTCCCCTTCTTGGGTAGTTCTAGGGTCGCTTTCTAGGTCTCCAATCTAGACGGGGCCCTCAAGAAGACCCTCATTCCGAGAACTGCCCAGATGCAGTCCTTGCTTCTTCATTGTCAGCAGGGCATTTAAGTCGGGCTCGTCCGGGCACCTCCAACAGCTCTCGTCTCCACAGTCGCAGAAGGTAGCTATTCGAATATGAGCAGCTCCCGAAATACACACCCTTATAAGTCTGAGTTATTGAGAGGTAAGATAGAAGTCCTATCCTACCTGGTGTTTTCCTGCCTATCTATATGTATAAGTTTGCTTAATCACTACTTTCGAAGCCTTCGGACTCTCCAAATATTGAGCTCGGTCTGTCCTGCCGGTCCTGAACTGTGAACTTGCTAACTAGTCTTCCGTCCTTGGGTTTCAGAATGCATGGCATCGTCTTCGGTGTTAGGCGCGATGAGGTTGCCACGGGGATATGGGAGTTTCCGAGAATAGGGGACCCCAATATAGCACCCTAAATAGTAGGATCCTTATTATAAGGACCCCAAAACAAGGTACCCCTAATTTTCGGAGACTCCCATATTAAGGGATTGGAACTAAGGTTCTGACCTTCCCTCGCATTTCTCCGTCGCGAGCGCAGCGAGGGCAGCGCAGGCAAGGACGCAAAGAAGGCGCACAGTGCTGTGCAACATGGCAGCAGAAATCCGAAATTACCCTTGCGACAGGAAAACCGGTCGGTGACCAGTCTTAAAAGTGGAGCCTGATAAGATGATGGCCACAGGAAGCCTACCTCACACATCGAAACATGTTTGTCGACCAAGGCAAGTCACAACTTGTGTGCAGAGCAGACAGCAAAACGAACCCTTGAATTTTTCTTTGACGAATCGCCGTCCATCTGTACAACAGGCCTCACCGGCCGGGACTGAATATTGGTGCGGTCTATGACGGTCGAGCGTGATCTCTTAAAGAACCCCGACACCTCAGAACAAGCCTAACCCTGAACCCTAGAGGCTTACAGCTTGGTGTCTTGGGGATTTCTGGCTTGGGCCGACAGGTCGCTCCACTCAACTCGGAAGGTCCACAGAAGACTTCTATGATCTATACTCTAACATAAGTCAATACACTGTAACATACAAAATGGCCATGTGAAGCCGTCAATGCGTGTTAACTCTTGGTGCTCATGCACTCGGGAGCCACATCGCAGGGCCAGTTGATCCCACCTGAGAAGCCAAGCCGTCATGGTGACACTGCTAGGGTTTAGGGGTTTAGGGTTTGGGGTTTAGGGTTTAGGGTTGAAGTTCCGGGGCTTGATTCCAAGATATCGGCACGGGGTTTGGCCTGCTAGTGGGCTTCAAGGTTGGGAGCGACAAGTGGAAGAAGACTTGGGCAACGAACACTCTTGTCAAACGTCCACGCTGCTCGGTCCGATGCGTAGGAAGCAAACATGAGTAGTCCAAAGCCAACTAAATCTTCGATAAACTCCTAAGGCTCCAAAGTGCCGGTGTAGGGTTTCGGGCTGCTCACTGAAAGCCGACGCAGTATGTAAATCCTGGTCTGTGAGCGAAGTGCAATATTCAGGCTCAGCGGCGGTGCCGTTCTGGAAAAGCATGGCCATCAATGAGACCATAGCAAGTCGTCCATGGACCGGCCTACTCAATTCGCGCTCAACCACTTGGCAACCCCAAACAACGCAGTACCAGAACATACACTACACATGCACACATACCTCTCCCTATAGATGTACATATTCTACCGCATATTACCTACAATCTACTAACCACTGTAGCGAACCACTGTATTGGATATTCAAGAGTGCAAACCGCACTTGTATGACTTAACAAACATGACACACACACACACCACCACCACCACCACCACCACCACCACCACCACCACCACCACCACCACCACCAACAACAACAACAACAACAACAACAACAACAACAACAACAACAACAACAACAACAACAACATCAACACCAACACCAACACCAACACCAACACCACCACCACCAACACCAACAACGACACCACCACCACCACCAACAACAACAACAACAACACCAACACCAACAACAACAACAACAACAACAACAACAACAACACCAACAACACCACCAACAACAACAACACCACCACCACCACCACCACCACCACCACCACCAACAACAACAACAACACCAGCCAACAACAACAGCTGAACATCACATAGATGCTACCCAGCATCTGTTTTGCATTTTTATATGATCTAATGTATGGTGTGGCATAGTATATGATGAAAACAAAACCTGAAGTGCATAGGATACTGTGTACATATATACATATATGGGCGCCACTCTCAGATTTTACACCTTATGTGTTGGTTGCACTGTCACAGTTGTAAAGACATAAGTCTATACATATGTGCATGTGTGTATGATGCGACAATGTGATGCGAGTATATATAAACGGTTACATACTTACATAATTGTTCGTATTATGTATAACAGAGAAACCTAGAAACACGCATTTGCAGATGTAATGTAAGCAATGCACAACTTTTCAAACGTGATATCACCTCACACTGCAGTATGTGACATTACAATAAAGATTGTGGCAATGCATTACATTGCGATGCGCGAACATGCTATAAGCTATGTGCCTTGTCTGCTATATTCCTTAAACTTCCTGAATGTTCACGTCAATGATGCTCTGTGCTGTTATATGCTATGGTTTGTTAAGCTGTGTGATCCTTTGCTGCGCTATACTACATTGCAACTACCAGTGTCATTAACACGATTAAGTACTACTGGTCTGCTGTAGTATCCTTACAATCCGTGTTGTAGATTTTATACGTGTGAACATATTAGCTGCTATGAGTGTTACCATCATGACTACATTTACCTTTCCACCCCCTGATCCTTAGACCTTGACCACAAAATCCCAAAACCCTACTTTTCATATACCGTAAAGCCCCAAACCCTACCCTAAACCCTAAACCCTAAACCCTAACCCCTAAACCCTGAACCGTTTCCATCCTTGTCAAGGGACTCTGCGGCCAGCTTGGTCTTTTTGACCTCAGCATCCTGGAACTCGATAGGATTAAAGTTGATGATAAAGTTCTTGCCTTGGCTCAATAATGGGGGACTGGAGTACTTGAATAGGCTTTAAGCGCTGATAAACATAAAACCATATGATATAACAGGACGACATGGAGATAGACAGGTTTCATACTTGGGGCCTCAATCATTGGAATAGGCTTCCTTTTTAGGGATGCAAGAAGAGGTTCTGCAAGGATTCGAACTTGTTTTAGACAGTGTCTGGTGCTCCAAGTGGGGTCCCAGTGCTAAGATGTACGATTTGTTGCCGGTGTCTGGTGCTCCAAGTGGGGTCACTGTATCCGCACTTGTAGTATATGTGGACCCCCTGGGTCATACTTTTCCTCATTATAGTGAAGCGGCAAGCAGTGGCTACAATTAGGGTCTAGTGCAGGGGGGTCTAGGTACTCATCTGTGTCCTCATATCCCACGGCTTCAAGCATAGTATATGGGACCTACACTCACCCGACAACCCAAACCCTCAGAACCTAAAAAATCTGAACAGTAACCCGAGCCTGAAAAACCCTAGACCCTGAACGCCGAAACTGAAACTCAATAACCCTATGCCCTCAAAACCCTAAACTCCTATAGACTTCAGCCCGCAGCTCCGGAGCCATTGGCAGGCCTCCAAACAGCTTTCGCAAGGGTTCGGCCCCCTAAAACCTTAAACCCTAGAATCCTCTTCTCTAAACCACTAAATCCTCAACCATTAAACTCTTCAACCCTAAACCCGTAAACTCTTCAACCCTAGACCTTTCGGATGTGGAATTTGGATCTTGGCTTGTGAGCATGTGGCTTTTCGGGTCTCAGCAGTTTCCGTTTTCGGGGTTCAGGCTTAGGCTTTGGGGTCTGGGGCTAGAGCTTCAGCTATTCAGGGCACAGGGCTTTGAGTCTACAGGCTTTAGGAAACGGTACGGTTTGTAGGGATGCGTAGTACCCCCGATCAAGTCGCGCCCGCCTGATGCAACTTCGAGGACTCCGCACCAGAGAGGTTCGTCCCGCCAAACCTTCCAGTGCGCCTGTATTGCCAGCTTTGGGCTTTAGTTAAAGTTGTGGGATGTTGTAGAGCTTCATGCCAAAGTCGCTGCATTTCTGGCATTGAGAGAATATTTGTTTAAACTTACATATAAAGAAGGTCAGAAGATGATGCAGTGACAGGCCGATTCTCAAGCAATGGAAACTGAGGAGCTGGCTACGTTTTTTTCGTGCCGGCTTTTGCAACGGCTAGAGTTGAGATGCTGAAATGTCCGCTGTACATGCACGTTGGCGGAAAGACAATCAGCATAAAAAACCTCGTGATAAATGGCCGAAACACATGCCTTTTGGCATTGCAGCCTACTGAGAGCTGGCCGTGAAGGATGCCTTGACATTCAGCATAAAAGCCCAATGAGAAGTGGCCGTGAAGCATGCCGTTTGGCATAACAGCTTAAAGTTTAAAGCTGGCCGCGAAGGATGCGTCCCTTTTTGCTTGCCTGGGCCCCCCCAAAAAAGATATTGATTAGGGTTTAGGGTTTAGGGTTTAAGGTACCCTAAACCCTAAACCCCTAAACCCTAAACCCAAAACCCTAAACCCTAAACCAGGGTTCATACGGCAAAGGGAGTAGGGCCTCGGGGACACAACATGCCGCAGTGCAGAGCCAGTGATTCGACACGGACAATCCGTCGAAGTCAAAACGGTTTAGGCTTTAGGGTTTAGGGTTTAGGTTTTTGGGTTTAGGGTTTAGTGATTTAGGGTTTAGGGTTTAGGGGGTTTAGGGTTTAGGGGTTTAGGGGGTTTAGGGTGTCAAAAACACTCGGCCCGCATTCCCAGGCCTCTGCAATGAAAAAAATAAGCGATCTCGGAGCCAGAGCGCAGTGTACATCTAAGAAACCAACTGAGAGCTTCAAGCAGGTTCCAAGCACGTCCAAACCTCCAAACCTTAACAAAGACTGAACACAGTCACGTACCCCTAAACGTTGGGCTAAAGAAAAGCGCTCCACTCCGCATGAAGCAATTAGCTCAAACAAATTCGCTACTTCGCTGTGCATCCGAGACCCCTCCATAGTTTGTGTTGGGGCAATCCCTAGACTCCACACATCCATGATTGAAGCATTGCCAAAGTCAGTGCAGCGGCCTGCATATAGGATCTGCCTGTGGTTTCTATCACATATAAGTCTATTGGGTTGTTCAAGGGTTCGGAGACCAACTACTTCATAAGTACGTTGGCTGCAACCTGTATGCAGCCCTACGAACGCCCGGAAAGAGAACACGACAGCCCACATGGAACCCAATAAGCAGACACAACTAAACAACACAGCTCCCCCTTTGTAAACCCGATTTCACATTGCCCGAAAAAGTGACAGAACACTTTGAACCCCCATAAGCTGTACAAACCATCGAAACCCCAAGCCGCATGCTAGCAACATGCAAAGGATACTGTGCCCTGTGTCTTGGAAGAGGACTTTCGCAGCATGGCCCTGAAGCTGCAAGGGTCTGATTGTCAGGGCTACAAACGCCAGCACTGCCTAAGAAATCATTGACTTGTGGAAATGAGTCCCTCGGGCAGCTGTGCAACACAACAAAGAACTACAAAGACACGAATTGAAAAAATTGACACCAGGGTACTCTGACCTCGGTGTGCCATTTTCTGATTTTGCTCTTCTCGATTCTCTTCGCTTGTTTTCTTCCCTCAAAAATCTAGAGCCCGGGTGTCCCGGAAACGATTGACGAACCGAAGATGTATGTATGTGAGATATACTCGCATGCATGTAAGCATGCAAGCATGTACTGATGTATGGTGTGTATGAGATGCACGTATCATATCATAGATCCCTCATATTTCCTATTCATCCATCCATCCATCCATCCATCCATCCATCCATCCATCTCTTGTTCGTCCATACATCCGGTCCATCCACCCACCCCCCAGCCATTCATCCATCCAGCCGTTGACGATGTCGATGACACCTTGGTAAGTCGCCCTTGGCTAGTAGATCTGCTACGTACTACATGATTGGACATCTTAATTGCGTCAACTCGGTTAGCCGAACTTAATTTTCGGCTTCGATGCGAGAACAATTGCGGCAACAACAGCAGCAACAAAAACAACGACGACGACAACGACGCTGTGCATGACGGACAGGCTTGGTGGATTCATTTTCCCCAAAATGCTGGCCCAAAACCCTTTCTCCCAAGTACCGGCAGATTCCAGACTTCGAACGAGGGTGGGTGCAACCGGGTACGACCTCGGAAAAAAAAAAACAGAGTCGCGCCGTTCGCACCCGTTCGCACCCGGTCGCACCTGTCTCGTTTCGACCCGCTTGGGAAAGCTCGGAACGAAAGTTTTCCAGACCCCACCACTCGAAGAGCGTTCCACATACTGCGGAAAACAACATGTTGGACTACGGCTGTACTCCAAATACACAAGTTCGAAGACACCCCAGCTCCGGTAGTCTTCCGGAGCCTTTCCACGTTCACTATACGGAGTTTTACATTCAAGTTCCGCTATGAAACTAAGAAACCTATATTGCCCCCTCGCGAAAAGCAACTGTTTCTTAGGCGGCGCTTTTGCTGTACATGTGGAAAGCTGAAGCCTCGTGCATATGTCACGCGAGGAAGGCATACCCTCTGTCACCTTGCACTAGGCGTCAGCACCCAATCCGAACTCGACGGTACCCAAGGTTGCTTGGCCGAAGAAATAAAAGGATCCGCCGCCATGGATTAGCATCGCCTCTCTGGAATAGGGTTTTGCGGCCCATTATACTATACTTATAATCAGGACCCCCCCAAAATAGTATAGGTAATTATTAAGGCCCCTCTAGTAGCATCGCCTTTCTGCAAGGCTCAAAGGTCGCTGCCCCAGCGCTCGTATCACCACCAGGCGGAAGACCAGCAGCAGCGAGACCTGGATCTCTCGGCCAGATTTCCTGCAAAAAAATGCACGCATCGAGGGCTTGGGCTTTGGCCTCCTTCGGGTTGGGGTGTGTGGCTTAACGTTTCATGGTTTCATGGAGTTCTGGAGGGATGTGGCTGGAAGCTGTCCTCCCATTGTCCGGTGGCCATGCTGAACTCCCACCAGCCATCGCCAATCCAACCTCCTTGGAGTGGGTATGGCCGCCCACCGAACACCTGAGACAAGCAGCCAGGGGCCAAGTGGTCTAAAATCTCCAGTCGCGCGAAGGTACTAAGAAAACAACTTCAAGGAAAGAAGGTGCTCACAGCACCAAGGCACGAGCAATCCAGATCCTGTCCAAGCGACCTGTGGAGCAAGTCGAGGGGCAGGAAGAGGACCGGTTTGTACGATCTGGTGCCACGTGTTGGAATCACGGCTGTATGCCCAAATATCGTCATGGATCACAAACGAGGGGTCAAAGAAAGCACCAGCGACGCCTCCATAGACCTTCTCAGAGCAGAAGGTGAGAGTCAAGCAAAAGGCAACTGGAACCAGCCGGCCGCTTCCGTGCAGGATTCTATGGCCGGACTGTGACAGCTATCATCAGTGACAATTATATAGTGCCTAACAAATGTCAAAGGCAGCAGTGCCTTGAAACTGGCTTGCAGCCATGCCACAATCATGCGACTGCCAGCGGAGTCCCAGAAAGCGTGAGGCAATCGGCGCGCTGTTGGATAGGCTGCCGAGGCGGCCTTCGAGGTCGCCGTGAGGTCCGTCCAGGTTGCTGCCAGCGGCTCATACTCCCACAGCTCATCCACTTGCCGATTTTGTTCAACACCGATGTCGCCACCAGCCGTCAGTGCCCCACCGAAGATCAACATCGTCTGGCTGTCTGTGTTCCAAACACCAGCCAGGAAGCCACGATGAAGCGGCCAGGTTCCCGTCCTGTCTTCCCCAATGGAAATCCTGGTCTGTGTGAGGGAATCACCTGCGAGGAGAGCACCAGACATGTCCGAAGCAAACCGGATACCACACTTTCGGATACTTGAGCCTGAGATGTCCCAGTGCACCAGGGCATACTCCTCGCCTGTTCCGCGACCAGGACGTCCCCGAGCTCCTGCACCATCATCTAGTTGCCTGAACATGATTCAACCTCCATTCCTACACCAGTTTCCCGTCCCTGAGCTTTTCCAAGGAGATCAAAGTAAGAAAGCACCGTATGCAAGACATGCCAGCTTCACTGTAACCGCACATGCGAAGCCTCTGACAGAGAGCCCAGGCGCAAGCCCAAGCCCGGTCCTCCATAGGCAAGGAAATACTCGCCCGTCCACACGACGATGTGGCCATACTGTAGGAAACCTCCGTTCGTTCGACCAGTCTCCCATTCCATTTGGCTCCAAGACAGAGATGGCCAGTCGAAGACAAACACCACGTTCGAGGGATGCGCTTGCTGAAGTTCACTTGCTTGGCCCGGGATGTTTACAAGTGTCACACCCCCGTGCAGATAGGTCTTGTCGCCGACCTGCACCATGGGGAAGAGATGCAAGTCCTTCGTTGGCCCACCTGAAAGGCCCACTTGGCGCCAGCCTCTGTCGGGCTTCTCCTTGGCTGGCTGCGCTCAGCACATTGGCCAGGAAGGATGACATGGACCCAGTCCCGTCCAGTCCCCAAACCCAACAGTCTCCCTGCACAGAACCAGCAAACCATTGCTATCTCGCTGGAAACAGCGCCTGCGGCGGCCCTACTTTGCATGAACTTTATGGACTGCTGACGACGGCCTGAGTCGCGCGCGGTCAGATCGCATTCGGAGAGGGTCGTGGTCATGACCGGAGTCGTCGATGTCAAGGCATTGCTGGTGGTCATGGCCGGGGTGGTCGATGTCAGGGCCCCGTACTTGTGCCAGATGTGTCCCTTGTGATGGATGCCTGGCTTCTTCACTCCCCGGCCCAAAAAAAGGTTCAACTTTGTTCTATGAGATAAACCAAGTGTATACGGCCTAAAAATGTAAATGTTCTTCTATTGCCTATCTAAAATGCGGGGCCACGGCTGGCTCCAGTGCCTTCGAACTCGGCGGTACGGCCCTCGCAACTCTGACTCGCTCGCCTTTGCATCCTTTCCGGAGATGTTCGATCCATGCAAACCCAAGCAAGACCCAAAACCTTAAACTCCCAACCCAAAAACAAAACAAGATGTCAAACCCCAAACCCTAAACCCTGAAAACCCGAACGAGATACCCCTGACAACCAGGAAAAATTGGGGTCTCCGGGTAACTGGGGTCACGAAGCAACGAGATGTCTAGGTAAACAAATGGAAACAAAGCAGCACAGCGCCCTCAATGAAACGATTGATTCAAAAACCCCTTCATGACATGAAATGCCCTAATCTATGCAGCTGATGGTGTACAACCCTTCGTATGGATACTGCAGGCTCTTCTCCATCAGTAGTGCGACGTGGACTCGCCGCAAAGACTACGAAAAGCCTATAGCCATAAACCCTAACCCGATAAACCCGAGTTGAGTAGACAGCTTCATGCCCAAGTATCGAAACCTGTTCCCAGCTGGAGCGTGCTGAAGCTGTCGCAGGTGTCTGGAGCCGGCGAGGCACCAGCTGTGCTTGTGGCATGGCCGAGGTCTGCCAGAAGAGTGGCTACAGTGGCTGCCAGCATCCAAGATGCCATCCCTGTCCTTTGGGAGAAGGCGGCCTCTGAAAAGTTGGGATTCAGTAAGGCGCTGGGAGCCTCTTGGAGCCCGGGCTGCGCGGTGAAGGTATAACGTCTATCATATTAGTAGCTTGGTGTGGACGCCTACAAAAAGACGGACACACGTGCGTTGGGTGTTAAGAGTGTGAGCGAGTCTGAGGAAATTGGCTTAGACGAGGATCGCATCTACTCTGCGGAGTAACGATCAACTTTAAGATGCAAAGCTGCTCTTCCCACAGGCTCTAGAAGTCAATGTGCAGAGCTCCACTGGGGATTCGAAGCTGCCTACACATCCAAGCTCCAACCCCTCAGCCCCCAAAGGGTCCTATGTATTGCGGGGAACCTTTCCCCAAACCATAATTGCAATCTCATACAAACCCTACATTCTACTGTTGATGATATAAATCCTGCATGACCCATAATAGGGAATATACCATAATTCCCATAGTTTAGGGTCCTTAAGGTAATGCAGGATTTATATCATCAACCGTACCATATATAGGATCCTTTGGGCCCCACAGACCCCATGTCGATGCCTCATAGCCAGTCGGCGATGGACACCTGAGACACTTTGTTGGTAACTTTGCGTTTACGCTTTCCGTGGTGATACGGGGTGTATGAGGCTGTCTGTGGTGCCCCAAAGTTTCACATCATTTTATTCCCTATGGAGCTTTCTATGGTTTCCAGAGCTCTATAAGTTGTTCTTTTGCGGTGCTTCCTATGGTTTCGAAGGTGTCGCAGGTTTTTTCTGTTTTTTCTGTGGGGTGCTCTATGGTCGTCCAAGGGTTTCTTTTGCGTTTAGAAGTTAAAGCGATAAAAGCTTGACAAAATGGTGGCATATGTTGTAAACAATGCTTTTGAGGAACCAGGGGTATTCGGGTGGCTTAAAGGTTTGAGGTCTACCTGGACCCTGAAGAACCTACCTTTTTAAGGACGTATATACGCCACCACAAGGTGGCTGGGACCCTAAACCTTAAACCCTAAACCCTTAAGCCCCTGAGCCCTAAACCCCTAAGCCCGTAATAAGCAACCCTGTTTAAGGTATACTTCGAAGATCGCGGACGTATATAGGGTACCTTGACGGGCTCCTTTAGAATGTGTCTTCCATGAGGGCCGTGTTCACTTTCGCAGGGTTTATGCTATATAGCGGTTTAAACAGGGGTTTAGGAGTTTAGGGTGTATAGGGTGTGGGATTGAAGGTGGAGGTGCACGGCGATGCTCCTAATCCCCAAACTACGGTACCAGCATGCCTCCAACATACAAGTTGAATACGGAAGCCTACATAGCAAGATCCGTATTGGAGGTATCTTGCCCCTGGGAAAGGGACTCCCAGCTATCTGGGGCATCTACCTGATCCCCCGAGAAACTCCCTATACAGATCCTTTGCGATTCCTTTAATTGCCAAGAACAGAACCCGCAAAGATGTAAACAACCTAGACGGTATACACTCAGAAGAGTGATGGGCATAGACGGTTTGTTAAGAGGCACTATAGGGAACGCATGTAACGGGCATGTCCTGCTTTGGTTGCCCTGAGGTCCCTGTGCTCAGATAGTATTTACCCTTGCCCTACTGCAGTACCTAAGTAGAGCCTGCTTTAAGGCGAAAGCATATGCTATCGGGGTACATGGACCCTTACACCCTAAACCGTTAAAGGAAACCCTTAAGGGGACCCTCAAACCAACCCTCAAAGGACCCTATTTGGGTAAATGGACCGCCCTCTGGGGTTTCAAGTTTAGGGATTCGGGGCTTTAGGCTTTAGGGTTTAGGCTTTACGGCATTTAGGAAACCCTTATGGTTCAAGTACCCAAGAATCAAGACACCCCGGAATAGTGACCTGCCTAACTAATGTAAGCCCAAGTACCAAGTTTTGGGTCCTTTCGACCCCTAGGGAAGTTTGCAAAATTGAGATATCGAACTAGTCGCAATCGAACCGTAAGTACAAAAGCTGGACAAAGATCTGCGGTCGTCGAAAGTGCATTCCCCAAAAACTCTAGGTACTGCTTATGGGGAATACTTCCCCACATCATAAAAGTAATTCCAAATATCCGAATATGTAAAAACCCACATTCTCCGAAATAGGTACTTACTATAGGAACCCTTCGAGGAACCCTAAACCCTTAATGGAACCCCTAAAGAACCTACATTCTACCCTAAACAGGTACTTTAGACCCTTTGGCACGCTCGAGGTGCTTGCCGATCGAAGCGCTCACCAAGACCGAAGTCGCCACAGTGCAGATCAGAGCTCTGCGCGTAACATTGCGGGCCTGCATGATGCAACACGTGAGGAGCAGGGGGGTTAAGGTTTAGGGACTTAGGGGTTAGGGCTTTAGGGTTTTAGGGTTTGAGGGTTTGAGGGTTTAGGGATTTAGGGCTTCAGGGTTTGGGGTACGGTTGAGCGCTACAGTCGACCCTTCGGCTTGGTCAAGTGGCATCTTGAAGCGGTTGAGGCTCCTCCAGCCCTTGCCGAAACTGTGACTGTAGATGACCCAGAGGGTTCTAAGTACCTGCATACCCGCAGACAGTAGGCTCCCTAAAACAGAAACAAAAAAGAAGCGATCATTCTAGAACCCTTGAAGGAACCCCATAAAAGAACCCCGGAACGCCTTACAGGAACCCTTCAGGCACGGATCCTGTGGGAGATTTGCCCTGGCATTGCCTTGCTTCGGCGGCTTCGCCACAGCATCCGAGAGAAAAAACACCTCGTGTGCAAAGAAGGAAACCATCTAAGATGCTGTTCCGGGGGCGTTCATCAAGATGTCTGAGGGTGGTGTTTTAGGGTTTAGGGTTTAGGGGTCTTGGTGGTGTTGGCGGTCTTGGCAATGACGGTGGCGGGGACGTCGGTCAAAGGGGTCCGGACTGTAAGAAGCTTTACACCGGATGAGGAGTACAGTAAAAGCCAGAAAGTTGGAATATGATTATCGTAGCCCCTTTAAGGTAAATTATAGGGGATCCTACCATGAAACCATATTCCAACTTTCTGGAGTTCCCTTTACTTCGAAAGCCTACACCCTAAACCCTGATCAAGTCAGCTTAGGAAACCTTTGAAAACCTAATGATGGCCCCGCTGCTGCTACTACTACTACTACTACTACTCCTCCTACCATCACCAGCCACCACCTGAGCTCACCTGGTCCTGCCAGCGTCTGGAGGTGATGTTGCAGCGCCCGGCCTTCAAGCACAAGGAGAGCAAGGGCTTAGGGTTTATGTTTGCAGGCCCCGTTGAGTGTAGCATGAAAACGATAATACAGGGGCCTTAATAATTAGGGTTTTGGCGCCCAATATACTATAACAATTTTGATAAGGAAACCCCGCAACAGCATAGGCAAAAATTTAAGCCCCTACATTAGATCATAATTTCGGGCCTTTGAGTCTCGGGTTTGAGGTTCAAGGTCCTAGAATGTCGGGTTGAAGGTTGAGGGTCTGGGAGTTTCGGTCTTAATATAAGGGCCTTAATGATTAGAATAAGGTTCTGGAGCCCCTTATGCCTTATACTAAAACTATAATAATGAACCCCCAAAGCAGTGTAGGTAATTATTCAGGCCTCTATACAATAGGGTGAGTTTTGGTTCAGCGTTTTGTTGTAGGGCTTATAGGGTTTATAGGGTAACGAAGTGTCATTGTAAGTACATAGAATTCCAGGTCAAAGATTTTGCGCTCAGGGATGTGTCACTGGCAGATAGCACCATGCTGTTTTCTGCTGACTTCTCACTCGCGGCTATCTCGGCCAATCGCGTCCACCACCAAAGCTGGTTGCCCTAAACTAATCGGATCAATCCTTGATTCACCGCTCCTATGACCCTAAACCGTAAACATGTAGGATTTAGGGTGTAGACTTTACGACGTTACGGTTTTAGATTTCAATTTCAAGAGTATCCGAGTTTAGAGCATCCGCATGGCTGCTACGTGAACGGACGGAGCTACGTGCAAATCACACGCCGCAATAATCAATGAAAGTTAAAATGCTGCATTGCGGGCCGTGGCCAGTCACTGTAGCATACATGGCTATGTAGGAGAAGCAAGAACGACTGATTTCTGTGGGATTTCTCGGGTTCCGCCTTTCAGTTCCTAGCATTGTGTTCCTGGCCGGCGAAAGCAGATGAGCTGAACCTGTGGGGAAGCTCTATGCCCCCAAAACGCGCATGTTGCGCCGCGGCCAAATGCCTGTGCGCCTTGGGCCCTCACTCACTGTGCTCCGTATGTTCTGGTGTCAAACCCCTTCCTGACGTGGCGACCACGGTTTGTGCGGCCGTGGTACTTGTGGTGAAACCACCTCGGCTATTGTTCAGGAACTTCATTCGATTTGTCATAACCATATTCTTTACTGAAGGTCCCATTATGGTAACTTGAATCAAAATCCTTGTCAAAACCCAGCAACCTCGGGATGCGAGGAACGCGCTTGTGGTAGTAGCTGCCATCTCCCGCATTGTCGGTCGGCTCGCTCATGCCGTTGTCGCACTGGACGGAGACCTGAGGCACGAAATGGAACCTGTAAGAGCTTGAGGTTTAATAGTTTAGGGTTTAGGGATTATCATAACAGGAGTTCATAGCATAAGCCCTAAACCCTAAACTGCAAGGATATATAGGGCTCCTACTTTTCAGTCCCAAGGTACTGCAAAGCTCTTCTGACTGGTGCTTCCCGCCACATCAGTTGCATTGCACGTCACTTCCTAGGTGGGCCCATTGTTTACGGCTTAGGGTTCAGGGTTTAGGAGTCAGTGAATCAGTTTCGTAAAGCAGAATCCTCTTCGGCCCAACAATGAAGATGCAAAATGCCCTAAAGGCCTACCTAGCTGCTGTCTCGCCGACAGCGAACAGGGACCCGGATGAAGGACTGCAAGAAGTTGAAACACCTGTTTGGGGTTTAGTGTTTAGGGTCTAGAGGCTTAGGGGTTTACGGGTCTGCAGGCTTAGGGGTCTGAGGGATCAGGTTTTAGGGGCTGCAAGACGTTGAAACACCTGGGCAGTTGTCATCCGCTGTAGGCGCGAACGTGACGGCAGTCGGGCTGCAGGACTGCACCTGGGATCTTGCTAAATGAGACGGCTGACGAAATAAACCCTACATTACCGTAATGACCCTAAGACTAAGGGCATTATGGCATTCACCCCCTTCATAGTAAAAACACATTGGCGCGGATCCTCCCGAAATCACTCCTGCCTTTTAAAACCTAATTTGCATAGGGGGGTCCGGAGCAAGAGCAGGACCGAGAGAGCAAGAGCTGGAGTAATAGCACAAGCAAGAGTAAGAGCAAAAGCAGGAGGAAGACCAGGTGCAACAGCAAGAGCAAGCGCAGGAGCGAAAGAAAGAGACGCAGCAGGAGCAGGAGCAAGAGCCCTCAAAAGTGGCAGTAGAGATGAATACAGGATTACGCCATAATGGGGATCTAAAGTAAACAGCAGGGTTGTCCTCGCTACGGTAAATGAAACTTAGATCCTTTCGGGGCCTAAATAATTACCAATTCTATTTTGGGGGTTCCTTATGCGCCCCAAAACCCTATTCTAACTACTAAGGCCCCACATATTATAGAACTCTTATAGTACCCTTATCGACCCCTTTAAAGGAACCCTATTCCAGTTATTAAGGCCCCTATAGCACTTGACTTTAAACCCTCCTTAAAAAGGGCCGAAGTCGATGGTAGCTGAAACAGAACCCTTAAGGAACCCCTTAAAGGGACCCTATTTTCAACCCCTACAGAAACCTATAAACGGGGCCCCTATCATACAACTCTATGGTACCCTTTAAAAGAGCTCCTTTCCTTTGCATGGACCCTGATACTCTAAACTCTTAACGAACCCTTACAGAAACCATACAAGACCCCCGTAAAGGAACCCTTCTAAAAACCCCAAACCCATTCCTTTGCAAGAACCCAGGCACGTCGATGTTGGGAAGCGTGCCGATACTTGGATCCTCGAGGTCATTGACCTGGACCTGGGCTCTTTTCGAAGGTTTTGGGCTTAGGGTTTAGGGTTTAGAGTCCAGGGTTTAGGGTCAGGGTTTGGGGTTTAGAACCCAAGGTTTAGAGTTACGGTTTGAGAATAGCTTTAACAGAAAAGTCCTGCTCACATGGCTGCTTACATACATGGATACCTACATATAGTCCTTGCATGCATGCATGAAACAGATGCTACACTGCTACAGCCACTGGTACATTGGAAATGATTGTCGAGAACGGCCGAGGAACGACGAAAGATTCCGACGAGGCCTTGTTGCCAGAAGCATCCGTGGCGTTGCATGTCACTGTGGTGGTACCGACCGAGAACGTGGTGCCGGATTCTTGCGAACAAACTACCTGAACTCCTGGACAGTTGTCGGCTGCATTGGCCACATAATCCACAGCGGCTCCGCACTGTCCTGGGTCGTTTGTCACTGTCACATCATCCGGGACCGGATCGAAGACTGGATTCTCGTGGTCCCTCACTGTAACCCAGAAGCCTGTCCCCGATTGAGCCAGTCCAGCAACATCGGTCGCCGTGCAGTCAACTCTGTTGTCACCGACTGGGACCAAAGAGCCATTCGCTGGCACGCAGGACAATGTGACATCGCCTGGACAGTTGTCGATTGCGGATACGTCGTAAACCACAATGCCTTCGCAAAGTCCAGGGGATGTGGCTGTTTCCCTCATAACATCGCCCAGCGTGATGTTGGGAGCCCAGAGGTCACGGACGTTAACGTCAAATTCTGCCGAGGCAGTGCTCCCACCAGCATCGGTGGCGGTGCACGTCACCGTGGTGGTACCGACCGAAAACGTTGAGCCCGATTCTGGCGAACAGGATACCTGCACTCCTGGACAGTCGTCTGTTGCGGTGGGCACAGTGAAATTCACAACGGCTCCGCACTGTCCTGGGTCTGTGCCACATCGAAGACTGGAGGCACCGGATTCAGGTCCTGCACCCAAACACGAAGGGATTCTGATGCAGTGTTACCAGCAACATCGGTCGCCGTGCAGGTAACTGTGGTGTCACCGATAGGGAACGAAGAGCCAGATGGTGGCACGCAGGACCATGTGACATCGCCAGGACAGTTGTCGCGTACCTCGATTACATCATAAGTCCGAACGGCTGTGCATTCTCCAGGGGCTGGCCGAGCTCCGACTCCAACATCGCCTAGGATGATCTCAGGAGGCTCTGTGTCAGCACTGGGATCCGCAGGGCACGTAGCAACTCCTCCCTTTACAAGCGCTTTTGCTTGCAAGAGCGCCTGGTCGTCGGAAGTGCAGCTTGCATTCTCGAGGTGCTTCCCGGTCGAAGCACCCACCACAAAGGTCACCAAGGTGAGGGTTGCCACACAGCACGTCAGCGCTGTGCGCGTAAAGTTGCGGCCCTGCATGATGCACACGTGGGGAGGGAGAGGGGCGGTCAGGCACAGTCGAGCGCTAGAGTCGAGCCTTCGGCTTGGTCAAGTGGCATCTGGATGCATGCTGATTGACTTTTCAGCCTGTGACTGTAGATGCATGAAGACAACCCAGACGGTCCTAAGTACCCGCATACGAAGAGAAAGTAGTTCCCAACAACAGGAACAACTCTGACTTGTAAGTATACCCCAAAAGGAACCACGGATCCAGTGTAAGATGTGCCCTGCCACGCCTTGGTGGCTTCGTCGGCATGCACGGCATCCGAAAAAAACCTCGTCTGCAAACGAAAAGCATTTCTTACTAGATTGCTCCGCGGGGGTTCATCAAGATGTCTGGTGGTGGTGGTGGTGGTGGTGGTGGTGGTGGTGGTGGTGGTGGTGGTGCTGCTGCCGCTGCTGCTGCTGTGCTGCTGCTGCTGCTGCTGCTGCTGCTGGTGGTGGTCTCGGTGGTCTTGGTGGTCCAGGTGGTCTTCGTGGTGATCTCGGCAATGCTCTTGGTGGTCTTGGTGGGGGTGACGGTAAGGTCGGTGGATGCTGGCTTGTTTTGATCCTGCGCTGCGACTCCTGTGGTTCCCCTGGCTCTTCGTATTCGTCGTCCCTCTAGTCTAATCCCCCACGCACCCGCTTAGGCTTAAGGTCGCATCCTGCCACTGACACTTGTGCCCCTCTTCGTTCCTAACGCTCTCTCACCAAGAGGGTCCAGATATACTACCATTATGGAGTAAGGGCCAGAACGCGGATGGCCTTTTGGGACCATGTAGTGTATATGGACCCTCTGTGTCATATATTTATTCCTCACTAAGCGGCATTCAGGGGCTAGTCAGGAGGGGGTCTAGGTAATGATCTAGACGTCCTCATATCGCACTGCATATGGCATATGTAATATGTAGGACCCACATGCACCCGATAACCCCAAACCCTCAGAAGCCAAAAGCTCTGAACAGATTGCCGAGCCTGAAACAACGGACCCTGAAACTAATTAATCCTAAGCCTTCAAAACGCTAAACTCCTAGGATATGGCCGGTCTCCAAACAATTTTCACAAGTTTTAGGAATTGGGGGTGTGGGTGTTCAAGGTTGGTGTATGGCTTTGCGGATTACCGGGCTTGGGCTTGGGTGTTTAGAGCTTAGGAATGTGGGGCTCTGGGCGACTGTGCTTTGGGACTTTGGGGTTAGGCTTAGGGGTCTAGGTTTAGGGTTAGAACTTCAGCTGGGCTCAGGGCTTAGAGTCTATAGGCTCTTAGGAAGCTGTAGGGTTTAAAGGGATATGTAGTACCGCCCCGTGATGAAGTCGCTCCTGCCTGATGCAACTTCGAGGACTCCGCACCAGAGAGGTCCGTCCAGACGGACCTTCCGCTTCTAATGCGCCAGCATTGCAGGCTTTGGGTGTTATTATAAGTTGTTGGGGTTGCAATGAAAGAACCATGAAAGTGATACAGCCGCAGGCCGATCCTCAACCAATGGAAACCGAGGAGCTTGCCACATCGAAAGCTCGAGAAGAGCCTGCACCCATTCTTTTGTGCCGGCTTTTGCAACGGCTCGAGTTGAGATGCTGAAATGTCCGCTGTACATGCACGTTGGCGGAAAGACATTCAGCATAAAGACCTAATGATAAATGGCCGAAACAAATGCCTTTTGGCATTGTAGCCTACTGAGAGCTGGCCGTGAAGGATGCCTTGACATTCAGCATAAAAGCCCAATGAGAAGTGGCCGCGAAGCATGCCGTTTGGCATAACAGCTTTATGCTGAAAGCTGGCCGTGGGGGATACAGGGCATTCTATACTTCAGCTAGGCGGTGAAGTTGGAGGGTGGGGAGCTTTCGCCGGCATCGTTGTTGCCCCAGCACACCGGGACTCCACTGAGAGTGAGAGCGCATGCATGGCCAAAGTTGAACAAGCTTACTGACAGCTCGGCGTAAGGTTCATTGTTGGGCGGCAAGCCAAGAGCGGAAGCTTGCTCACCGAAGCACTGGATGCGGCTGTCTGCTGACCTAATGCCGCAGACTTTCTTGGAACCCGCGTCGACGTGCGTGAATGCAACATCTGCAGGTGGTGGTGCCCTCACATCAGAGATCTGACCATCACCATCTTGAGCACCCCAACATGTGATTATTCCGTCAGCTTGGCGTATGCCGCAGGAAGCACTCCTAAAACTGGAGATCGCCGAAAGTGCCTCATCGGGTGGCGATTGACCACTCAAACCTCCCCAGCACTGCGGCTTCCCGTCTGCTGTTCGGAGCCCACAGCTGAAGTCGGTTCCTGTCGACACTGCGCTGAAAGAGATATCAGGAGCATCGAGCTGACCCGAACTATTGTAAAGCCCCCAGCAAACGGCTTTTTGCTGAGCATTCAGAGCACAAGCGTGGAATCGGCTGACCTGGATGCTGGAAAGCGGATCTGTAGGTGCTGCGACATTTGGAGGCATAGAGCCGCCCCAACACACAGCCATGCTGCTCGATTCGACGATCCCGCAGCAATACCAACCGCAGGACAGCTCACGCAATGCGACCGTTGGCACTGTTCCGATGTTTATAGCATCTCCCCAGCACACGGGGAAGTTGTCCTGCTTCCTCAAGGCGCATGTGGAGGCAGGACCTACGGAAATTCGCGCGGTGCTGGTGGTCATGACCGGAGTCGTCGATGTCAAGGCATTGCTGGTGGTCATGGCCGGGGTGGTCGATGTCAGGGCCCCGTACTTGTGCCAGATGTGTCCCTTGTGATGGATGCCTGGCTTCTTCACTCCCCGGCCCAAAAAAAGGTTCAACTTTGTTCTATGAGATAAACCAAGTGTATACAGCCTAAAAATGTAAATGTTCTTCTATTGCCTATCTAAAATGCGGTGCCACGGCTGGCTCCAGTGCCTTCGAACTCGGCGGTACGGCCCTCGCAACTCTGACTCGCTCGCCTTTGCATCCTTTCCGGAGATGTTCGATCCATGCAAACCCAAGCAAGACCCAAAACCTTAAACTCCCAACCCAAACACAAAACAAGATGCCATACCCCAAACCCCAAACCCTGAAAACCCGAACGAGATACCCCTGACAACCAGGAAAAATTGGAGTCTCCGGGTAACTGGGGTCACGAAGCAACGAGATGTCTAGGTAAACAAATGGAAACAAAGCAGCACAGCGCCCTCAATGAAACGATTGATTCAAAAACCCCTTCATGACATGAAATGCCCTAATCTATGCAGCTGATGGTGTACAACACTTCGTATGGATACTGCAAGCTCTTCTCCATCAGTAGTGCCACGTGGACTCGCCGCAAAGACTACGAAAAGCCTATAGCCATAAACCCTAACCCTATAAACCCGAGTTGAGTAGACAGCTTCATGCCCAAGTATCGAAACCTGTTCCCAGCTGGAGCGTGCTGAAGCTGTCGCAGGTGTCTGGAGCCGGCGAGGCACCAGCTGCGCTTGTGGCATGGCCGAGGTCTGCCAGAAGAGTGGCTACAGTGGCTGCCAGCATCCAAGATGCCATCCCTGTCCTTTGGGAAAAGGCGGCCTCTGAAAAGTTGGGATTCAGTAAGGCGCTGGGAGCCTCTTGGAGCCCGGGCTGCGCGGTGAAGGTATAACGTCTATCAGATTAGTAGCTTGGTGTGGACGCCTACAAAAAGACGGACACAGGTGCGTTGGGTGTTAACAGTGTGAGCGAGTCTGGTAGGAACGTCGCACTCGTAGATACGCATGCTCACCACGTCCAGTGTGTTGCTCGTTAGTGATAACATAGAGTTCTGCTAGCGAATGAGCCGATGTGTCTCAAGACTTTTCGGCTCAGTTGAAGTTTGGTATCAGGGACATTGCCATAATGGCTCTCTCCGTGGTTGCCCTCGCAGGCCACTGTTTGGTGGCCGCGACTCTCGTTGAGAGCTGGTTACCATGGTGGCCGTCCTCGGGAAACCTCACAGAGTCGAGTGCGTCGCCTTCGGACGATCCGTCCACGGGCGAACCGCCCAATGGGCACTCTTTCTCCGGAACTATGTCAGTTTGGTGGAGTGAATGGAATTTCAAGGTTCTCTTCGGATTTCTCGAGCGCGCCCATGTTCTCCACTCCCGACCAGCTGGGAACGTTGGGAACAGACGGTGGTTGGGCCCTTTACTTCCTGGACAAAGCTGGTGTGCTCTGTTTCGGGCGGTTCTGGCCGGTGGCAGGGTGGACGACCCTGGTGATCCTCCTGACCTTGCTGGTCACCGCCTTAGCCTGGTCTCTCCGAACCTGCGAGCGGTGCCTCTGCTGCGGCTTTTGCTGCTGCAAACGAAGCCACGGACCTCGAGGAGCAGGAGTGGATCCAGCTCTTCGGCATCTTCCGGAAACCCCAGCACCGCAAGCTTATGCTACCGTTTCGTTGGTTGGTCCGGGTGGTTCCGCCCCTGTTGACACCGAGTACTACCAGAGACAAGTTCGGGGCAGGGGAGCAGGACGTAGACCTCACGATCTAGTCCTCCGTTTCGAGCAAGGTGCGGTCCGGCTTCAACCTGATAGGTCGCAGAGAACTCGGGTGGACCGGCATGGCCTGTGGATCAAGCCGGGCAGAATCCTGGGTGTTACCGCCCGGATGGGGAGTTCCACTGCAAGGCGTACGCTGCCATCGATGCCGATGCAGTCATCGATCTGGGAGCATATGGGCGCCTTAACAGTTGGAGAGTCCTGGTCCTCTGCTGGCGTGGTCTTCGAGCACTACGGCGGGGTCTTGGGCGATGTTGGCGCTGCTGTTCATGCCGAAGGTCTACTGAGGCGCCCCGCCAGATTCAGGATCGAGGGGTCACCCGGACCTTGGACCCCGACTCCGAATCAGAAGCCGAGGTCGTGTCCGATCCCTGCGAAGCAGTTCTGGTCGGTTTGGAGCTCCAAGGTAAGCCTCGGGCTTTAGCTCCAGAAGGTTGTGAGGATAAAGCTGCAAGCGAGCCCACTCGGTTACTTGTTGAAGATCTCCAGTTGTCCGATCTGGGTGGAAGGGAGTGTGCTCGCCTCTGCAATCATCACAGCCAGCTGTATATGCTTTCTTGCCAAGGGAGGAAATGCAGTGTCCTGTCCTGCTTTTGTAAGACTTATGGAGCTTATAAGGGTACCCCTCTCTGCAAGAAGCATCTGTCCGAGAGCGGACGCTCTCAGAGTCCGGCCCCCAGGAGTTCGGGTCCCAAACCCGAGGAGTCCCTCCTCCATTCTATTCGTAGGTCCCAGTCAGCCGACGCCCATCGTGATACCGGATCCATCCGTGCAGTACGGTTTTCCGACCAGGCTTCGCCTGGCCCCAGCCCTCGAAATGTCGGGGTCGC